AAGCGCATGCGAGTGGAAGCCCACCAGTGGTGTGAACTCCTTTTTATACGCCGTTACGACAGCGATTGTGGGAGAGAGTGCGAGGTGTTGTTATGAGCGCCAAGCAGCGACACGGACGAGGTGGCGTCCCGGAGGAACTTGATGTTCCGGATGCTGCGGCCGTCTGCCTCTGTTTCGCCTGGCCGCCTGCTGGCACAAAAGGCTTACTCGCGTGCACACGCTATTCCCCAGTCTTGGAGGCGCGAGAATAAGGCCTCCTCGCTGGAGCAGAGGCGTCGCGAGCCGTGTCGCCGGGCGAATTGTTCACGCGAATCCTCGCTCCCACCCGCAGCACGGTGCAAAGAACGCAAGTACCCTGCTCGTCCCCTCGTATGGCTGCCTCCGGCTTGATTTAACGGGCGCCACATAGGCTCTCTTCGGCTTTACCGGGGCTGCGCAATGAGTGTCGTTTCATTGTCTGGAATAGAAGCGGTCCCGGATTAGAGTTGCATTGAAGGCCTTGTGTTATTAGACGTTTCTGCTCGGAGAGCTGGGTCAAGCTCCGGTCCCGGATTAGAGTTGCATTGAAGGCCTTGTGCCATTAGACGTTTCTGCTCGGGGAGCTGGGTCAAGCTCCGAGTACCTCATACTCTGGTATGGAATGCTCGGTGTAGGATCAGTGCTCGCGTCGTTGGCATGCGCCATACATTAAGGTCCGTGGATAGACCTGACACTGTGTATCACCACTTGCTTTCTTTTCTAGCAGCCTTTGATTCGCCGACATTTCTTTGTAGTCTATCCCGCTATTTATGTGCGTGCGTGTTGCTCATTCGTTCGCATTGTGTTCCGAAGACGCAGCGAAGACAAAACCACGGGGTGCCGTTCGCTGTGTTAAAGATTTTCGCTTTCTTTGGTTGATTACCTGATGCTGGGAGAAATCCGGATTTTGCGCGGCCATGGCGCGCGTGGTGTAATCCCTTATTGAGCGCATCGCCTTCTATGCTTAGGTGAAGTTTGGCGACACAGTTACTGTGAAAGCAGCGGCCTCTTTCACATCGGCTGGCCATTAGGGTCCTATAATGCTTAAATTCTTTAAAATATTATAAAAAATTTAAGCGCTCAAACAATGGTATAATTCTTAAATGAGGAAGTCGTGACAATGGTGTTTCGCTGGATGTCCCAATGTTTCGACAAGTGATCTTCTCTAGTCTGCTTGTCAAAATGTCGGCTCCATCCCCCCCCCCCCCCCCCCGCTGTGTTCAAGGATTTAAGTAGAAAGTTTTTAATGGCTCATACTGGCGGCGTCCGACCATTCGTCCATCCGTTCCCTAGGATGGTGACAGCTGTGGTTTCTTCCCCTCGCACTCTCTCAGCAATTACTTAGCGACAGTTGCACCGCCACAGCTGTGGTCTGTCCCCCTTACACTTTCAGCAACCACACGATGTCACAGCGGTGCGCACGGCAACGCCCCTCAAGCAGACGTCTCGTTGCGCCAGTCTGGTAAGCCGAATAGCTTCTAAATGAACCGGTGATGATTCCACGTCAAGCGGTTTGGAGAAGCGCTCCAAGACTGTGCATTCCCCCAATGCCAAACGCCAGAAGAAAAATGAGCGAATGCGCACGGGGCGGGCTAGCTTGTCACCGGGCCCTACCACCACGCAATATGGCAACTTTCTTGATCTCGTATTCCAGACGTATCCAACCGCCAAAGATCTCGAGTACACATCAGTACAATTCAGCGGTCGGAAGGCAGCAGCTATCATAGACGTCAACCCAGACAAGTGTAAGCAATTCATGGGGCATTAAATATTCATGGAGCATTAAAGCTAAGTTACTAAGTATACATTATTGAGCATTCAATTATTTACTTTTTGCCGCACATGTAAATCTCAGTAATAAACAAAATGGATTCTGTAAATTCCGAAGTGTGTTCGGCTAAAGCCTGTGCGAATTCCAGTAAAAGGAACATGCACAAAACAAAAACAAAAAGAAAATGAATCATGTAATAGCCAGTTCCAAGCTATCGCCAAACACAGTTTCGAATTAATAGTCTTCAATTTTTTTTTCATCCCTCAAATCCTCCATCTTCCCAATAACTATACTTCCTTATTTGCATATGTTTATGAGGCATATGGGTTGTGTATGTAGTGGTGGATTGCTGATAGTTATGACTGTACCTGCAGGTTGTTGTTTTTTTTTTTTTTTTTTTGACATGCACCCGAATATGAGTACGCAGGATTCTTTTCCGTGTCAACCTCATGATATGTATCATGTAACGCGAAAAATGTAGGTGATTCCTTTCATATAGAAATTGGTATAACACACAAAAGTGAACTGTGTCTTCACAGAAGCAGTTCAATGTTTATTATAAATTGATAATGATGTCTATTGGTGTTTAGTGGTAACGGTACCCATTGATGTTGATGCACACGTGTTGATACCTGGTGGTGCATCTTCACCATGACAACCATCAACTCGTGGTCGGTATACGCTTTCCAGAGACACTGCACGCACCGCATAATTACGTGCGATAATCCAACAACCCCTGCAAATCACACTTTAGCCACAGCATTCGCAAAACTGTGCAAGACAAACCGAACGGGTTTGCCCTCAATCGTTTTCCAACTCACGGTCTGTCTGCTGCAGCTAAAGAGCATGATTTCCGGGTCGGCGACCGTCTTGTAAATATGTGCTTGGTATTTTACGTCGTTTCTGCCAGCAGCGCGCTGCTGATATGTCGCCTCGTCGCTTCAGTGAATATAGGATGATTTCAGTCCTGCATCGATGTCTGTATGGCAGCCAGCTGACTGTCCATCACTGCACCGAACTAACTGCGCGGCATTCACCCGTCGACGCCGTTGTATTTGAGTGGCGCTCAATGAGACAGTTTTCATAGTCGGTACCATCGCGCACGTGTCAGTTGGTGGCGGAGATACACTATTGTTGCATATCGAAGCCGCACTACACCGCAAACGCAAGCGCAACGTCAAAGACGAAACACGGGACTGCATCGTCACCGAGTCAAGTCAGCGCGCCGAAATTACAGAGGGCGTTTGTGGCCTGCGAAATCAGCCCCAGAAACCTTCTTGGAGTTGACATCGAAGGCAACGTTACACTTTGATTCAAGTAGGGCCAACACCACCTAGGCTCTGATGCCACAGGGCCGGTTCAAGTGCTTGCATGGAGGCCCCGGAGGGCTGAGACTACCGCAGCGTTCTTATCGGTGTTAGTTGGTGTCATAATGTAGTACTTTTCTTCTACGCTCCTAAACGCCGGCGCCGCCCAGCAAACGAAGAGCGTGGGTACTCGGGAAAGAGTGTGAGACATATAAGGCGCGCCCGAGAAGTGCTTCGGAAACGCACCGATAGCTCAGTCGGCCAAGCGAACGCTTCCTACTGACGCTTAACGAGAGATCGGGGATTCGATTTCCGGGCCTCCAAAAGTGAAAATTTTTTTTCTGGTTCATTTCTTTGCATGCTGCTCATGTAAATTTTCACAATGTCATATCAGTGACGGTTGAAGTCTTGGTAGACCCCCAACATAAAACATTTTTGTGTTCAAATATAAAGTCATGCACTAGACATCAAATGAAATTAAGCACTTTAGTACTAACTGCTCTCACGAAGGAACGACCTGTCGCCATAGTTGGGCGGCATCAAACGTGCTTGTGTTAGATACCAATTTAGAGATTCTTTAGGCATCCTATATACCTATATCGCGGTATGTCTCACAAGACGTGTACCATGAAAGACGCGTTTCCGTGTACATGAAATCCCCTTCGTGTATTTAAGATTATGAGAGACGCCGTAGTGGTGGTCTGCGGAAATTTTGACCAACTGGGGTTCTTTAACGTGCACTTAAATCTGAGCACACATGCCTACAGCCTTTTCGCCCCCATCGAAAATGCAGCCACCGCAGCCTGGATTTGATCCCGCGACCTTTTAGGTCAGCAGCCGAGTATACCTTCGCCACTAGACCACCGCAGCGGAGCAGTTTGTCGGCAAGCAGAGCCCCGACAACTATCAATTACAAAAGTGAGATGCAGAAGCTGCGAATGGCGTTGTGTATGGAGCTGTCTTGTTAAGCAGCTAAAGCAAACTTGCCACATTGTTTAGGCAAGAAACTAATACACTTATGCCGAGAATTCAAAACTTCCCGCATAATAAGACATTTATTCATGTTAAGTAAAGTTAAATAGTTAAATAAATGCTTTCGTGCTCCCTAATATAAATATACAATAACAATTTTTCAAATTGTATCGAAGGAGCTTTAAATACACGAGAAAAGTATCGTAACGGCAACACTCATTCCTAAATACCTTGTAACTGTATTGTAAATACTTTTGCCCCGAGTGTATTGTATAATACCGCTATGCGATTTTAAAATGTCTTTGCCCACTCATGAGTGTCACACTGTTGTAGCTCATTTAATCGTAGCGGTGGCCATCTGTGTTTTGTTTGTTCGGTTGTGTCAATTTACATAAAAGAGTATAATAAATGGGGCACATACTAAGAAGTCCCTGGATTGATTATTTTATCGGAAAACCAAAATAATTTCACTTCGAGTGCAATTCACGCTATTGACGTCTAGGCGTGGGATCCTCACCATCGAGACTGCAGGATTCTTTCAATAAGGTTTCTTCCTTCCTTCATTGTTTTCGAGTTACTTGAAGGAACCAGAATTCTCTCCTTCGGAAATCGCGTCAGCAGATAATTTCATGTTGGCAACACGCCTTCTAAGAGTGCGGCCATCCACGCGATATTTTTGCCACACCTTTTTTTAATCGCATAAAGTGAATTCATTCACCAAAAAGAACATACAAGTGGAAATCTTATGACAGCCTTTCAGGTGATGCACCTGCTCGTGAAACTTGCCACTCGAAAACGTTAACGAAAATGTAAATAAGGAACAACAGATAGTACTGTCGCTTCACTATTTTATTAAAAAGAGGCGATACATTGAAAGACGCCGCCCTGATGAGCACTCATGGTGAATTTATGACGCGCAAAAAATGTAGCCACAGCTATGTTGGCATGAAACTGTTGACAGTGCGGCACGCATGGCTCGCTTCGTGGGACACTATGAAATGAAGTCGCCGGACGAAATGCTGCATGAATACTGCCAAATGTTCAAATTTAAGATAAAGAAAAACGTGACTGGCCCCGTACCTGGATAAACCTCACGAGCTCAAAAAAAATAAATCCAGAGCTTCATGCGCTCAAACAACGATATGATAACGAAGCTTGTCACATACGTTGGTATAAGAATCAGTTTTGACCATCCAGTGCTTCTTAACGTGTAGTTCTATCGAAGTACGGATTGCTTTTGCTATTTGTTTTGTAGCGGCCTTAAATGAACTCACAAACTTGAGCTTAGCAGCAAAACACCATGAAAAAAGCTCGTTTACTCTGAGGGAAGTTAGAAATATGATCGAAACGTACACAGTGAATTGCTGAAGCGTGCTTCAGACTTCGTCCTCGGAGTGCAACATTAATCGGTGTAAATTCATTTTCATATGAAAAAATGTTACATGTTATGTTGAATGCGAAAAGAAGGAATGAGAAATATGAGGCAAAATGATTGCTTAACACTCTCCGAACCCTCACACCCTTTTCGTCCTTCTGTTAATAAAGTCAAACTTATTTGACAATTTGAGCGTACAGTTGGGAACAATTAACTCAGATGCTTAAGACATGAAAACCACTTTCTTCAAATACTTGGACCACTCTGAACGATAGCACGGTGTGTCTTATGGCGCGTGGCGTATTGTTGATTGTCGAATGCCCAAGCGGAGGGAAGACTCTCCTCAGTTGACTGTCGAGCACGCGAGTTGGGAAGCAGTGCAAGAGCAGCCGAGAAGAGAGGTGTCGCCAACCATCAGCGTCGCAGATGCAGCAGACTCACTCCGAGTTGAATACGCAGCCCGATGTTTCCCTGAAACATAGAGGAGTACAAATCGTGTAAGGGAAAGAGTTTTCAACACGTGGTTAACAACTGTTGCAAGTGAACTCTTGATTACCATGCTATACCTTCCTTATTTCTTTCAGTTTGTTATATGTTTCTAACAGCCAAGCCTCGCATTTAGAACTCACAGTTATTATGGTCATCCAGCGGCGCACACAACTCAGCGGGTATGCATCACAGAAAGCTGGTATGAGCCAAGCAGCTCCTTGCATAGTATGGCCATGCACAGTATCACGTAGTAAAAGGTGAGCAACTGAAGTGAGAGTGAAGAATAGTGATGCAAGATGGGGTGAAAGGAAAAGAACAGTGGAAAAGGTAAATAATGACAGAGCCTCGTAGAACCACATACATGTACCGGGAGAAAGTAAAGAAGGACATAGTCTTCATGTGCGTAGCCTTTGTGTGACACAGACACTTGGTATATATGTCCCAAGCAGCTGCTAGCATAACCACACAAAGTACAGTATAGCAATTGGTCGGGAAAGGGTAGTGAGAATGAGGAGGATAGAAGGGATAAAAATGGGTAATATAGAAGGGTACGAAGAAATAAATAAACAATATATACAGGAGAAAGAAAAATAAGGCGTAGTGTTACGTCTGCACAGCCGCTTGTGACTGTAGACGTTTTATTTGACCTCAGGAAACATGAACACTTCAACTGGGGAAGCTCAGGTATTGGAGTCGCTACCAGTCCACGTTCGACAAAAGGCTCGCCTTCGTACCACAGTGAAAGTGCAGTCACGCTCGCGCTTTGTTGCTGTCGTCTTCTAAGTCGACATGTGAACTCTTCCTCCATTATACGAAGTCTCCATAGCGGTATGGAGGTCGCCTAACCTCTGTCGGTTACAGTTGCTGGGTGGTCACTGCCCGTGACCTCGATGGTTGTGAGGGAGTGTCGTCCTGTATATTGGGCGAGTCAGACGGTCGAGCAGCAGAGCTCTAAGGCGTCTCTTCTAGAGTTGTGTCCAAAAGATCGTCTGCTGCACTCCAATGTGTCGGTGAATCGGTTGTTTGTCCTGTCTGGCTCGTATTTCTCATGTGCTTGAGAAATACGAGCCAGACAGTACAAGAGGTGACGATGGACCTTTCCGTGGCCACTTTTTACAAGTGATTGATTGATTTATATGTGGAGCTTAACTTCCCAAACTCCCATATGATTATGAGAGACGCCATAGTGAAGGGCTATGGAAATTTCGACCATCTGGTGTTCTTTAACATGCACCGAAATCTCTCTTCTTATTTTTTATAAGACATGATCCTGGTCTGACACGGCGCAGTATTTTGCCTTCAATATATTCTGGCGTTTTTCAAAAACTGGCGGATAAGCTCTACCTTGCCTACTGTGAAGTGTTGTGATTTAATCAACGTCTTCTCGCTCTCAGCGGTTTGCTTTTCCACCTCTTGCTTGAGACGATCAAAAGGGCAAAGCAGTTCTCGTCCAAAAATTGGTCCCGCAGCTGTCATCTCTGCGGCAGTGCGTATCACCATGTGCTGCCGATACAGAAACCTTGCAAGTCGGCACTATGTAGACTTGTCTCCATCCGTCAGCACTGCCCTTTTCAGCTCCGCCACACAGCTTTCTGCCTGGACGTTTGTTGCAGGGTGGTAGGCTGGTGAGGTGGCAGCCTGTATGCCATTTGACGCATAGAACTGCTTCATCTCGTTGGAGAGAAAGGCTTACTGTTGTCGGAGGTGAGCTTTAGGGGTTGAGAAAGATTGCAAAGAGGCTTCGAAGCACGTCGGTGACAGCTTCGAAGGTTGCTAACGGCACGCGCTAGACGTCCACGTGCTTTGCGTACACGTCCACAACACGCAAGTAAACGCGCTCGAGTAGTGGCCCCGCGAAATAAACGCGCACCGTGTTCCATGGTGTCTGAGTATGGTCCCAGGCAGGAACAGAAACTTTAGGTGGGCTCTTCTGCATTGGATGGCGTTCACGACACTGTCGCACCGTTTGCCTAATTACCCTAATTGTCAATTCCGGGCAACCATGCGTAGCTCCTTGCGCACTTCATAGCTATCATGCGTTGGTGACCGGCGTGCAAAAGTGCCAGAACAGGGGATCGTGCTAAGCTTGGTATGATCACTCGTGGTTCAAGTGTGATGAACTTGCCATGAAATGCCAGTGTGGTCACTCGTCGTCGGTAAGGAGAAAACTCCTTTCGAGTGAGTTTCTCCACTGTGCCATCCTGCACTGCCTTGTAGAACCTCTGCAGGATGCTGTCTTGTTGTGTCAGTCGTGTTCTCTTGGCGATTTCGACAAAGTTTCTAACATTCGTACGTCGCCTGGAGGCCAGTGTTCGTTGAGACGTCCTTGTAATGATAATGGACTCAACGCATCTTTGTATTCATGGTTCCTGCAATCCCTGTCGATGATGATGCAGTAAACTAGTCCTACGTCAATAACTTGATGTACCAGCTGGTCATCAGTAGAGAAAGAACTTGAGCCGTTGGTTTTTGTGGATACAGTATGCCCAGCAGTGGTTGATGCCCTGTGACGAAAGTCACATTTCTTCCCAAAATATACTTGTGCACCTTGTGGGCTGGAAACATCACAGCAAGGCCTTCTATATCCAACTGAACACAACTGCGTTCTTCCGGCCCTAGAATCTGAGATGCAAAAGAGATTGGCGCCTTTCTATTGTGGTCATAAGGTTGAGACAGAACAGCTCTTATGCTGTGTGGTGAAGCATCACATGAGACAAGAAGCTTGTTCTGTCCATCGTAGTGTGCCAGTACGGTCTGACTGAGAAGCAACGTCTTAAGCTTGTCAAATGCTTTTTGATGCTTCGTCTCCCATCTCTACGTGGACTCCTTCTGAAGGAGCTGGAAGAGGCAGCTGGTAACTGTTGCCTTGTTCTTCAAGGATCAGTCGTGGAAAGCCAGCACCCCGAGAAAGGGTTGAAGCGCGCACTTTGCAACTTGCAGTTTGGTGCTGAAGCTTCTGTTGTGGCTCGAACATTCTCTTCGTTAGTTTGGACGCCTGTCTCATCGATTCGGTGTCCCAGAAAAAAAAAACTTGTCGAAGTGCAAAGCAGCACTTGTTTTCGCCGAGGTGAAAGTCTCACTTTCGTAACCTCGTCAGAGACTTTTCCAGTTTCACAGCGTGTTCCATGGCGTCTTTCCCACTGATTATCACGTCATCTACGTATGCGCCAACGCCTGCGAAGCCAGACAGTATAGTCTTCATAAAGCGTTGACAAATGACTGCAGCTGCAGAAATTCTGAAAGGAAATCTCCTGACCTTGTGAAGCTCTTTGAGTGTGTTCACAATCAATACCTCCACTGTCTCAGGCTTCAGGTGAAGTTGCTGATACACCTGTGCCAAATACGGGGTGCTAAAGACCTTGCCTCCCCTCAGGTGTCTAAGTACTTCATTCGCTGTGGGAAGTGAGCACTCGGCCTGCTTTGATGCTTTGCGTACGCACGCGCACTTCATTGTTGCTCTCACGTGTCATGTCACTTGTCATGTGGCGACATGTCACGTAGAAACAGAAAAAAATAAAATGTTCGCCAGGCCAAAGTATTGAAGGACTTTGGCCAGGTAGTGGTGCTCGCTTGCCGCTATCTACCCTGGTTTCATAGCAGTATAACTGTCTTAAATTTTGTCTTTACTTATTCATTTTTTATTTTTGTTTAACTTTTTTGCGTTGCACAACTTGTGAAAATGGAGTGGCCGAGGTGATATAAACGTCCATCTTTACGTAGCAATGGAGTTAGAACAGAACAAAGCAGAAAACTGTGAGCAGGCAGACAGAATTTCGTCAGAACTACCCGGTTCTTGGCCAATCCCCCAGCGTGGATGTGTGCCACAGTTTCCAGGCACATCTTTCCTTCTTGCCTGTAGGTTGAGAGCTTCCAAGTGCAGCCTTCCATTTCTGAGGCCCAGTCAGGAGCGCAGCCTTCTCGTACAAACAGCAGTCGGACTGACTGCGGTTAGCCAAGCTGCCGAGCAAGGCCGCACAGATTGCCACCATGATACAGTGTGGACTGCTGCCTGGTAATCATAGAGCTGTCTTGTAAAACTGGTTCACACTATTCAGCTTAACAAAGAGGGGCGCTGTAACACTGAAACATAGAAGCATTTCATTATTTTATCTTTCCTCGTACTCAAAAAACCTGGCAATATTCAGGAAAGTACGTTAGGATATTCACAATTAAGGACGACAGCGATCCCCTTACTCGGTCGGCTTAAACATTGACCATGCTCGGTCGGCTTAAACACTGACCATAAGTATTGAAAACCTGTAAATTTATTAAAAAGTACCCGATACTTGCTTGATTCACACAAGAAGCCATAAGTTTTTGTCTAGAAAATAACAAAACTTTATCAGAATAGCAAGATGATCGACCACGTGGGATCGGATATAGCCTGACCCCCTTCAAAGTGTCATTAATTTAATGAATACCAGACATAGCCGGAAACAGCCGCTGGCGTTCAAACAATAATGGAAGACATCTGACACACATGAAACGCTTTGTGGTGCCATATTTGACTCTGAATAATGAAAGCGTGTTTTACGATCCCCTATCTGGGCAGAACTCACCTGTCATTGAACTACTGCTTAGCGCGTACGATCGTTGGTTGATGCGTCAGGTCCTGCGCGGCTTTCTTGGTGGATGCCGGTGACTCGGTCGCGTAGTCGTTCCGACCTGTGACCGTGTCCCCTGTGTCACCAGCGAAGCCCGTGAAAGCCTGGACGCGACCTAACAGGCTTCTGAGGGGCAGGTCACTGAGTCCACGGCGAATATCTTTGGCCCGACCGTGTATTGTGTGGATGTTGGAGAAAGGCATCATTAGGATCCTGGGTGAAAAGAAAACATAAGCATGAACAGGTATCATGGAAGGTGCTAGAAGGTATTAACGTTGGGGTAGCCGGTGGTTGGGGGGGAGTGGTGAAACTCTCGCCTTTATATTTTCGTATATACTGTATGTATGTATGTATGTATGTATGTATGTATGTATGTATGTATGTATGTATGTATGTATGTATGTATGTATGTATGTATGTATGTATGTATGTACGTACGTACGTATGTATGTATGTATGTATGTATGTATGTATGTATGTATGTATGTATGTATGTATGTATGTATGTATGTATGTATGTATGTATGTGCGTGTGTGTGTGCGTGTGTGCGCGCGTGCGTGCGTGTATAGACAAAGACATGTACCAGTGTACATTAATTATGATTAAGTATGGTCCCTTACAGAGGAGGATGATTGTCTCCTTGCAGCCAGGGTTATGACACATCGGGCTGCTAGCCGTTCCGATTCGAAGTCAGTAAGGCCACCCCCAAACCACAGGTGGCCCAAAAGCTCTTCCATAGCTTTAGTTGCTCCTGACGGAAGGATAAGCTGCAGGTTCGGGTACATACTGTGAAGACGAGCGTTAATGAATTTAGTCGAATCGCACTGTGCAAGTGTCAGCTCATGTGCGAGCGAACAAAGCCATGTAACTTGTCTTTTTATTTTTATTTGTTTTAAATACTACAATCTCTAGATGGAACTTCAGTTGGGTGGGAAGATGAACAATTCATGCATGATCTGGTACAACGAAATGTGTGGAACAAGTGGTATAGGCGTAACCGGGCCACATAATTCACATGACCTAAAATAGAAAACAACTTAATAACAAATAAAACGTGGTTCCACATCTGAACATACACGTACACATGCATGCAAACACAGATATTGTAATTCTCGATGCAGTTACATGCACATAAGAACAAAGTACCGATAGCGAATGAATAAAATAACAAGAAAATAAAACATTAATATATGCATAGACGCTCCAAGGAAAAATGTGCTTCAAGAATAAATGTCCGTTCTGGATAACACTATAACTACGCACCGAAAAACATCATGAGCAGATGGGGCGACTTCATCTGCACAGTCATATCTTTAGATCCGGCAATGATATCCACTGATACGCTACGTTGCGATTCTCTCTGTAGCGCTGTGATCAACGAGTATTATCTCAGCGATTAATTCTTCATTTGGCTCATGACAATATGGCGACATAATACACTGAAGAGTTGCCTGGGAGTCAAGGACTAATCATGCCTATGATGTTTCTTCAACTACGAACTCCAGAGTAGAATGAAGGGGGAAAGTTCTGCAGCTGTAAGGGATGTGATATGCTATATGTTGACTTTTATGGAGACTCCAAGGCGATTCCCCGTGTTCTTACAGAGATAACAGAAGAAACTAAACCATACACTTTAAAAAATATCCAGTAAAAAGGGTGTATTTTTGTCCCACAACAATAATCGTCATCAGGCTTGCGTGCGCTTCCTTTGTTGAAAACTCGGCGCTGGCCACTTTCCTATCGAGAATGCGATGTAACCCTGATAATGGGCATGTCGATCGTGACCGGAATGTACCGGGCGCGGGGCGATAGCGCAAGGAGGGAACGCAATATAGATGACGAATATTGTTGTGGAACAAAAAGACACCCTTTTTACTCGCTCTTTTTTTTTAGAGTGTATCTGTAAATGTGAAGGTTTCCGCTGTGTTGCTTCATGAAAAAACAGTAGTGTGGCTTGTTGTAGGGTCAAATGCGATCACTTTTGTTTCTTTTAGATTTTAGGAATAGATATAGGGCTTCGATTGGATGTATTTACCAAAACAGTAACGGCGGTCTTGCTACATGCGTGAAGTCTGAGGGAAGTACTGAGCGATACCACCAAGTACTAATGCCACCAAATGTAGAGTGTGGTCTAGAAGTAGGAAATGAGGCGAGGTGGTGCGATTCGTAAAGCATCGTCACAATGTATGTTGTGATTGGCTGATCATGCGCGATTACGACAGTCACTGCCGAAGACGCACATATCTAAAGGCCAAGACATATTCTCAAGCATTACCTTGAATCCCATGGAGGACAAGCGCGTTTGTTCTTCAGATCATGCGAAACCCAGGAAAGCTATAGCGCATGAAGCCGAGGAAAGGTACAGTGTAAAATTGAAGCCCCACTTGCACATATGCACCCGACATTTTAGGGGCGAAGCTCCTTAATGCGTGGGTCTGTAGATCCTCGACGTATGTAGTTGTAGGTACCCACATCCAGTTTAGTCCTTGCAGTGTTCACTAGATGCCGGCACTTGTATATGATGAAAAGATGCGAGATGCTATAAAACAAAACGGTGGTACTTGGAGTTTTCACTAGATGAACGGACGAATGGATGGACATACGGACAGCCAGACAGACAGACGTACAGACGGACGGGCAGACGGTTTATGGTTCAGCGATAAACCCCCCGAAGCTTCGCCCCCCTCATCATCATTCACTCCGTGGATATATGCTGTGATTTTTTTCTGCAAGAGACCTCAGGACGTTGATTACCATGGTGGGTTTCTTTTTTATGTAGGCGATATGAGGCCTCCAAGACAAGTTGAGATCCATTATTACCAATTATTACTCCCAGAAAACATGCGATCATTTATAGTGTGGTGATTCATTACGATGATACATGGTGTCATTACTTTGCGCATAAACGCTACCCGTGAACATTTCTCAGACGACAGCTCCAGTCGCCGTCATTGAATGTAGTTTAACATCAGCGCAGCCGCTCTGGGCAGCGTCAGGTCAGCGTTAAAAGCAGTTGCATGTAACACGACACCACAAAACCGCGAGCACTCACAACGTCAAAGTTACGTTCACGCACTGAACAGCTGAATTATACGCCGGAGAAAACCTGAATTTCAAGGAACAGCCAGACTCTGCCCTTTCTAAATAGAAGGTGGCTGCCTGGCGATCATTTTGGCAGTGTGCGCCGCTGCAGCCACAATCATGCACTCACGTGCGCATGACTAATATATTGAGTAATGTTACAACATCTAACCACCCCTGCACGTTACGTAATCGCTTTGTGAAGTCTTCCATGCTGAAAATGCCTCTTTTTAATGTCTTGCTGCAAGTTTCCGCAATCGTCGCATTGCACCGCACGAAGGGCAAGCGAAGAATAACCAATCAAAGAAGCAGACGCCAAAAATCATCAGCTTTCGTTCAAAAAGCTCACGTCAACTAAACCTGCTACACTTCTGTGCGCTTGGTATGTACATTTGATTCAACTAAACGAAGGCACTCTGCACATACACACATATGCATCTGTGACTCTGTGCGCTTCGACTTCCTTGGCTTGCCTCACCTTTGTGGTCCCTCGTATGGTTGCATCCAGGAAGAACAGACTAGACCCCAAGTCGTCTTCATCAATTGTAGAACACGTTGCAATATGGGCTACTATAAAAATTGCATCCAAACAAACACCGCGTAAATTGACAATACTCTCCGATTCGAAAGTCGCATTACAAGCCCATGACCCATTTTCAAAAAAAGGACAATATTAAGTACGGTCTTCCGAAACCCTACAAGCATTCGATCTAACGCAACAGAATGGACCCTTCACTATCTTCCAGTGCACACCTAGACACTGACTTGGCAGGTAGCAAGCTATCAGATGCTGCAGCGCAAGCCGCTGTGCATAAAGATTTCGCTGACCTGAAAGTACCGTGCTCGCGAAGGGAAGTGTACTCTGTTGTGGTCGCTCATGCGAGAGTCCACAGCAACTTACAAAATTATCTGTATAACCGCCAGCGGGAAATATGACGTTACATGACGTTTCGCCTTCCGGCTCGTACAAACTGAATCCACGTATACGCACAGTTTGCTACACAAAACTTGCGTCGTCTTCACCCGAAGCTACGCGTACTCCATCGGCCGTGCGGACATTCCTGAGGCGTGAGGGCCGCCATGCGGACGAGAAATATGTGACACTTCTACGTCTCCCAGTGGAAGATGCTGATTTCAACATTGGTAGGCGTCGGTGTGGATAACAAGAAAAAAAATCACCGCTTAAGCACTCCCTATAAATGATTAACCAGCTGAAGCTTAAACTCGTGGTCCCGGTATTTAGCCGTGTGTTCAACCCGACGCTGCCCTGAAGCCTTTCACAATTATTGGTTACATGTTAGTGCTTCTTATTTGGGTTAGCCAGACGTGTTGCTTGAGTTTACCACAGTGTTTATTTCACATGTCGCACATTGTGCCTCACAGGATCACGGTCATGGAGCGTATTGAGCGATTAAATGCGTTTCGCAATTCGTTATTCACAGTGGCTATTCTCGAACCACGGGCGCTTGCGTACGTCACAGCCAAAGCCGCCCCGCCGCGGTGGTCTAGTGGCTAAGGTACTCGGCTGCTGACCCGCAGGTCGCGGGTTCGATTCCCGGCTGCGGCGGCTGCATTTCCGATGGAGGCGGAAATGTTGTAGGCCCGTGTACTCAGATTTGGGGGCACGTTAAAGAACCCCAGGTGGTCAAAATTTCCGGAGCCCTCCACTACGGCGTCTCTCATAATCAAATGGTGGTTTTGGGACGTTAAACCCCACAAATCAATCAATCACAGCCAAAGCCAAAGTGCCGCTAGAGATACTCCCACCGAATGCGGGCGTTCGCCCCGGCGAACGCACTCCCATAATCATCACGTTGACGTTGTTGTCACCGCAACAGCGCTTGTTCGGCGCGGCGTTATTGCAAACGTTTGACATCGCGAGATACCTCGGTGGCGTGGTTCGAGCGATCCACCCGCCACCAGCGCTTGCATTACTGTTCCTGAATTAGCACGGCTTTGAAAGCTGCTTGGATCATCGTTACGGCAGGCACAGTTGAAGCCGGCACTTGGTCTCCCGGGCCTGATTTTGTGCCCGGACGGCACCATCGGCCCGGCGAATGCGAGCTCTCTCACGTTTCCACTGTCAGCGCTCTTCTGAAGTTGTCCATGGCTTACCCATGAGGAAGGTGTCAGTAGAAAATGACGCGTACATGCTCGGCGACATGGCTGTGACGAGATGGACGACGTCACTCACAAGGCAGCCAATGACACGCGTGCTTGGGTACGACGTTGAAAACGACGTAACTTATAGAACAACCAATGAAGACCGCTCGTGACACCGATGCCAAACTCCTTTTCGTTTCTTTTAGCTGTATACAGCGTTCGCTGCAATTATATATGTAACTTAACAAAACAAACATTTTTGCTGACCTTCCTTTTCTACATGGTGGAAAGGCTCAGAATTTTCCTTTACAGCAAACGTTTTTTTTTTTATCTGAGTGCAGTTCAATTCACGTACCTAGGTATATTGTGGACGTGAAATCTGGCCAGGTGAATCACCTTCTCCCAGAGGGTGAACCAGCGATTCAGGCGATCGGGCTCTAAGACGTTCTGCACCAGTTGGTCCATGATGGGCAGAGCATGCGCCTTCTGCGCTAGCACCAAGCACACCAGCAGCACCAAGGCACGGCTTGCCTCACGTCGCCGCCTCCTGTGAAATGGAGCATGTTAGTGAACACAAAACGAACGCGCATAGCCCACCATCTTTCGTCACAGCAGTTTTGTTAAAGGGACTGTCTACGCCTGGAAAAGAATTTTCTGATTGTGGCGAAAATGAGAAGATCATTCATCACATTGACGGCAACGAGTATGTTTTTTCCCGTACAGAAGAAATTATAATTTTATATTTGACAAAGAATGACAAGAATTTGACAAGAATTTAAATTTGTGAAAGTTGAAAAAGAATGACCCCTAGCGTCACTGAACAGCTATATGAAACACTCTGACTGGAAGGACGAGAAATCCTCGACTCGCTCTCTGGATTTCGTGCCAACCAGTTGTGCCCCCGCGATCTCCAACGACAGCGCAGCTCTGGCCGACAGGGCTCGTCCTACGCCATCTCCTGACGCCGACAAGAGGTCTCGCCGAGTGGTGCCCCGTCCTCGGACTCCTGCGACCGTGTCCATCTTTCCTATCTCCTCCTTACTTCCATCGTTTTCTGTGGTTCGTTGTCCCTGCACCTCGCTCTCTCCTTCCTTTCCGTCTCTTTACCTTTTGATCCTATTCCTTTAATCCCTCCTTTACCCCCACCCCTCGCGAGCTACTGTTGAGGTGTCCTCCCCCTGAGAGAAAGTTACGGGGCTCACTTTTCTTGTCATTCAAAATCTTCTTGTCATTCAAAATCACTCACACTCATAAGAAATCCCCGCAGCTAGAATCATTTTGCTTTGAAAAGAACGTCTTTAACTCGAAATTGCATTTTATGCACTTGAGGAAGCTTTTGGTTGCGTCAGAGAGCAATTTTCGCTTTTTCTTTCACGCGTTCAAAGAGGCTCTCAGTGGCGCGGACGCGGAGGGTATACCGCACGTCTGCTTGCAAACGGAGAAGAAACGCGAGCATTGCGTCCGCCACCACTCATAATAACAAAAAAATGTCTGCCAGCTTTAAACATCCACTAAGGCATTGTTTTATTCTTAAACAAAACTTAATGAAGCCCGCAAAAACCGCATGTGGTTTAGATTATCGACTTTCGCTGGCAGCACAATCGTCATCACCTCCACCAACTAGTGTTGGCATTCATCCCGCCATAGGAAGGAGACCTAACGCAGATCGAAAAAAAAATCCTGCTTTAAAAATTCCTACACACTTTCCAGAGAAACTGCTACGAAGTTGGTACACTTCAGATGGTACGCTTTTTATTGCTGACATAAAACAGAAAGACCGTGAACAGTAACCTCCCTTTAAACTGAAATTCATTGCTCAGTTCGCCCATTTCATATAGCAATCAATTTATCGACGCGCATTCAAGTTTCTTGAATGTACGAGGTGAATGAAGTAGAATACTTTCACTAATGCTGCTGTGTCTGGTTTATCTGTAGCACTAATTCTGAGGCTGCAGTTCAACTGACGCTATGGCAAAGAGCTTCACACATCAACAATCATTACCTACAAGAAGAGCGGGTAGCACAACTTTAATAGTGATAGAAGGAACAACACATACGGACAAGCGCAGTTCTTTATCGAACCTCTGCTAATAGGGCTGCGCTTCCCATTCAGCGCAATCTGCTGGGCTGGCATTCGTGGCTACTTTGCGCCTAAACTGGTTGCTTTGAGACCCGTCTAGCAAAATAAATTTCAGGTTGGAGCCATGGATACTTTTTAATGACCAATTTAGTAGCCAGTTAGTAGCCAATTGTCTCTACATTTGAAGAGAACGTAATAAGCAAGCCTAAAGACTACCCATTGTTTTCAAGCTTTTCTGTCATGTCAACCACTACCAGCACGCTGGGAGCCTTGAGGCCCCTCAACGCAACGCGAAGCGTGCCTTCAAAGCTGGAGTGGTGAAGCTGCACGCATGCAGACCAACGCGTTGTTGGTCACCTATTGTGGTAACTCTGCTAATTAGTTTCAGCTTGTAGATTAAAGAAAACCGTGCTTCAACATTCAAGCTTCCTCCTGACTTGTTAGAAGGAATGTTCCGTAATTATTCTGCACCTAGCCAGAGTTCTAGCTATTCTGTATAAACTATGTGCACGGGCACCAAACTTATACCAACAAATCCGACGTAGTTGCCAAGTCCACAAGGGGCAAAGTGTGGTTTAAAAAAAAACATGTCAGAAAGTTCAACGTTATGCATGTCGCTTGAAACACTAACAGCTCACCTATTTACCTCCTGAAGAGCGTCCCACTATAATCATTCTTTTGTTTTGTATACTTATGTGTTAGTATACCACTTACTATTCAAAGTATTCTACACCCTCTTGAGATGGTATTGTTGAATACCTTCTACAGAAAATGGGCTAACCGTAAGTGGATGTGGCGGAGTCCTAACAAGGAAACTAAAATAAAATTGACTTCATTCTGTGTGCACACCCACTAATCGTATAGAATGTAGAAGTAGTTGGCAAGATCCGATGAAGTGAACACATAATGGTAAGATCTCGTAATCACCTAGATTTGAAAAAAGGCAAAGGCATAAACCGATACGCAAGAAGCCAGTTAATGAGCTAGCGGTAAGGTGAAAGTACAGGAATTCAGAGTTTCACTCCATAATAGACTCGAGGCTCTAAACGAGGCAACCGAAGTTAGCGTTGACACAATGAATGATAGTCTTACTACCTTATTATCAAAATGTGTGCAATAGAAGTCGGAGCTACAGTCACCAGAAAGGACACTGGTAAATTATCTCAGCAAACGAAAAATCTCATTGGGAGACGACAAACCACGAAAGCCTCAAATGCAACCGACAACATAGAGCTGGTGAAGCTTTCGAAGTTAAACAATAGGCGTTACGTTGCTGACATCAGAAGGTATAACAGGGATAAAATTGCACAGGCTGTAAAAAACGGCAGAAGTCTAAAAGCTGTGAAGGCAAACATGTGCATAAGCCAAAATTTGATGTATGCATTAAAGGACAAGGAAAGCAATGTCACAACCAATATGAATAGAATAGTTTAGGTGGCGGAGGAGTTATACAGAGAGCTGTGCAAAAGCCGAAACAACCAGGATGATATCGTAAGAAGCAATATTGGTCCAGAGGAATTCGACCTCCCCCAGTAAATACGGGGGAAGTAATGAAAACTGAAGAAGCAATGCAAGAGGCAAAACCGCTGCTGAGGATAAGGTAAAAACAGACCTGCTGAAAAATGACGGAGAAACTGTGTTAGAAAAACTGTCCAGCTTATATACGAAGTGTCTCTTCACGGGAAGGGTACCATAATATGTGAAGAACGCTAACAACATCTTTACCCATAAGAAAGAACACGACAAGGACTTGAAAAGGTACCGGTTGGCCAGCTTACTCTGTTCTTTACAAACTATATATAAAATAATAACCCATATACTTAGGACGACATTACAGTTCGGTCAACCAAAGGACGAAGCAGATTTTTTTACAGGTTACTCCACAATACACCATATTCATACAAATAATCAAGCAAAACCAACCCTTATACATACCTTTCATAGATTACGAGAAGGCATTTGATTCAGTCGAGACATCAGCACTGATGCAGGCACTACGGAATCAGGGCATCGACGAACCTTACACAAACACACAGGAAGAAATCTACCGCGGATTCACAACCACCATATTTCTTCATAAAGAAAGCGACAGAATCCCAATAAAAAAGCGTGTAAGGCAGGGTGACACGATCTCTTCAATGCTATCTCGCCGCGTGTGTACATGAGGCTTTCAGGGCTCTAAGTGGGGAAAAGTTAGTGATAAGAGTTGATGGAGAGTATCTTAGTAACCTGCGATTCGCTGATGACAGGGCTCAGGAGAAGAAGACGACGAAGTTGAGAGTGCAGCTAGCTCTACCTTCGATTTTCTATTTTTCCTTGTTTTGTGTTATCGTCTGCCGTTCTCGCGAAGACGTCTGTGGCATCAAAAAGATTTTACCGTTCCCGGGCCCATTCCGAGAAGACGCGACCGGAAGAAGGGTCCGTTTCCGGGACTGCGGCCATGGCCCAGCCATGCAAGCGACCAGGACAGACACCTGATCCGTCCCACATGCCATCGAAACGACAAGACCAGCGAGCGGGCGAACGTAACTGTGGCGACACCAATGAACCTACAACCGATGACGGCGCATCCACAGTAGTGGGAATCGACGAGAAAGTAGACGATTGGTCGGACATGGAGGACGACAACTTCAAAATAGTAAGCCACCACAAAAGCAGAACTGTGGGTATTCCAGTGATTATAACACCTGTAGAGAGCGAAAAAGACTTAAGACAGGTGAACCCTATTGCTCTACATTCTGCGGTGACATCAGTCATTGACGCTGAGCCAGTTCGGAGTTATTTCACTGCTCAAGGTTCGCTACTACTTGACGTGGCCACTGAAGATCAAGTAAACGCGCTTTTCAGGTGTGGCAAGCTGTGTGGTGTAGAAGTCAGTGTTCGTATTTCTAATGCCTACCTGCGAAACACCTGCTTGATCAGAGGTGTTCCAAAGTGGTACACAGAGGCGGATCTTCTTGGATATACGAAACCACAAGGCGTGATTCACGTCAGGAGGGTTGTTAAAAGTTTCTTCTACGAATGAGTGTAAAGCTAGACCCACGGACGCGGTGGTACTTGCGTTTACTCCAAACACCAAGCGACCTTTGACTATTAACCTTGGCTTCACTCGACATGAAACCGCTGAATACATGGAGGTACCACCGAGATGCTTTAAATACCAACGTTTTGGTCACGTGGCGAAATTCTGCAAAGGAGAGCTGCGATGCAAACGCTGTGGGGGTCCGCATGACTTCAAAACTTGCAAGGCGGACTTCAAATGCGCAAACTGCAATCGTGACCATCCCGCCAGTTATAGTGGGTGCCCATTCCGAGTTAGTGCGCTGCATAGACGAAAATCTTTTCTTACGTGGCCTAAACCGACTAAACAAACTACTGTCCGGTCAGTTAATCAATCACCTGAGGATTTTCTACCATTGGTGAAAGAACAAATACCAACTAGTACAAAGAATGTACGTGAGGTGCAATCAGAAGAATGCTCCCTGAAAACACCGGGCAATGTGAGTCAAGCAAAACAAGGAGCCATGCCAACCGAGTCTACTCAGAACATTCCTACACAAGCTACCTATGTGAGACAAGAATTTGAGCAGAAGACAAAGGGACACGAGGAAAATATACACGACACTGTGGAGATTGTTCGTGTTCTGTTTGCCGCTCTACGTTCTCACCTAGCGACAATGCCACCAGGTACTGCGAAGTCCATGCTGCAGGCCATACTGGCTCTAGAATCAGTGCTGCTTGGTTGTTTCGGGCACAACCAACAGTGGGATGCCGAAGGCCAAGCCTCCGTGTACGTTAAGTTGCCGAAAAGTGCCTTTCATAATTCAGTGGAATTGTGCCGGTATTGTTTCTCGCATGAATGAACTACACCTGTTTTTGAGAGAATATCGAATTCCGATATTGGCTCTGTCGGAGGCCGGATTACCGAGACAAAGATCACTCACTGGATACGTCACTCACAAGAACCCCACCATAACGACTTTCCCAAACGGAAGCACCGCTATGTATATACGGAGAGAGATACCACACGTAGCACTCAATGTGGCGGACTTGTGCACAGATGTTATGGAAGTTTGTGCGATCAGGGCATAGATATGAAACCGCAAAGTCAGCATTGCATCGGTGTATGCGTCTCTTCACAAGAAAATTTCCATTTAAAAGTTTTTGGAAGACCTGTGTCATCGTTGCCCAGCTCTGCGCATCAACTGTGGTGATTTCAATGCGCATCACACGTCATGAGGGGAGAAGAGTTCGGATGCACGTGAACGTTGTCTGGGAAAGGCTATTGATAAGCTAGACTTATGCATTGTGAATGAGGGTAATGTAACATTTTTAGGCCCCCAGCTTGTACAAGTATTATTGACTTGACGTTGCATTCAAGTGACGTTCAACTCACGTGTTGCACATCTCCGGACAGAATGGGCAATGATCGTTTCCCTATATTGATCAATGTTGCTGGCTACCATTTGACGGTAGATAAATCCTGCGCAGTAACTGATTGGGACCGCTACCGAGAGCATCTGGATCGTCAATCAGGAGATATGTTTCATGATATGCTGGCGAGCAAAGCGGCTGCAACCACTGTACTTAAGCTACCTGCACATTTTCCACCTCCGGACTTAAAGCTCCGTAAATTGTGTGCGGCCAGAAGAAGGGCAGAGAAAAGGCTTATGCGAAAAGGTGGTGAACCTGCTAGCAAAACTCAGTTCAACAGACTTAATGCAGCAATACGGCGATACAGCAACAAACTTTGGAGGAAGCAATGGGCAACGTTTTGTGAGAGTTTAGGTGTATTTACTCCACTGTCAAGGATATGGCGAGTAGTAAACAGGGTCGGAAGCACACCTGAGCCCTTGAGACTATTTATTGCCCTGGCGTTATTCAAGAACACATCAATGCCGTCTCCAGCCGAAGAGTTTGCTGACGTGTATGAAATTGGAAGAGAAAATGAACCACCTTACCCACTTCCGCCTCATTCTACATCTGCCATCGACGCACCTTTCACGCTGCGGGAACTTACGTCAGCCATAAGTTGTCTCCGTCGACGCTGTGCTCCCGGAATTGACGGAATAACAAACCAAATGATCTCAAATCTGCCTGCAGAAGTGAAGATCAGGCTTCTGATGCATTTCAACTATGTTTGGGAGTCGGAAAACATTCCTCAAGCCTGGAAAATAGCCTGGGTCGTGCCAGTGCTGAAGCCAGGTAAAGACAGAACAGAACTGGCCTCATACAGACCAGTATCACTAACTTCGTGCGTAGCGAAGCTGATGGAGAAGCTGGCCTGTGTTCGGCTGACATGGTGGATGGAGAATCACAAGACCCATCCAGCATGTATAACTGGGTTTCGGCAACGGTTGAGTGCACAGGACAACATCTTGGACTTAATGAGTCACATAGAACACCAAAGAGCATACGGCTTTTCAACTCTGGCAATATTCCTGGACGTTTCAAAAGCATACGACTACGTGTTCCAAGGTGCGATAATTTGTGGTCTTGCATCAATGGAATAACGGGGCACCTTTTGCGCTTTGTTCAGGCGTTTCTTAGTGATCGCTCGATACAGGTGAAGTTAAGGACAGTGCTCAGTAGCTCAAGAAAAATCACCAGAGGAGTGCCACAGGGCAGTGTCCTGTCTCTGATGTTGTTAAATGTGGCCATGGCTGGTTTACCTAATGCTCTCAAGGGTGTGTACAAGACAGTACAATTATCTATTTATGCCGACAACATATGCATCTGGCTTTCTGGATATCAGCATAAGCGATTGGAAATGATTGACCAAAAAGTTCTACACTCTGCACAAGCCTATCTTGAATCTATTGGACTAACAATATCAGCTGAAAAGTCTCAATTCATGCTATTCGCAGGTATGCGAAAACGAGAAACAAGGATGAAAATATTACTTCCAGGTGCATAAATTAAGCAAGTTAAGTCCATAAGGTTCCTTAGAGTCCCACTAGACAGCAGGGTGAATTGGCGACGAGCAGTAGACAAGACGATGTCAGCGCTGACACCCCGTGTAAACATTCTTCGAAGGATGGCAGGAACAAGCTGGGGGAGTCACCCAACTTCAATGATAAAGTTACACGAGGCAGTAATTGTCAACCGTGTGCTTTTCCAATTGTCTCTGATCTCTCCGAGTGAGTCACGGTACGAACGGCTAGAAAAACTTCCTCGTAAAGGCCTCAGAGTTGCTTTGGGAGTGCCAAAGTTTGCAGTGAGCATAAAGGTGCTTCATGAAGCTCGTCTTCCGCCGTTACGTCTTCTCGCCTCTCAACGACTGCTGACACAGCTTTGCCGACTTGGCGAATCGAGCCCAGGACGAGCACTACTCAGTCGCCTTCGGTGACGCACTGAATCCCGAGCTTTCGTGGCCCTCAAGACTCTCCGCCATCTTACCATCGATTTTCCCAAACAAAGACAACTTCGACAAGACCCACCTTGGTCACATGGGGATGTCGACTGCCAGGTGACGATTCCACGGATGCAAAGCAAGCGTTCCACACCCACAGCACAAAATACTTTCTTTGGTACTTGAATATATTGAAGAAAAGTACGCAGATCATTTGAAAGTTTTTCACCGATGGATCAGTCGACATAGTGCGCGGAGCAAGCGCTGCAGCGTTTGTGATCCCATCTCTAAAGGTTTCCTGGGTGAGCAGCGAGACTCGAGTGCGTTGTTTCATTGACAGCATGTGAAATCGTGGCAATTCAGGCAGCCCTGAAAAAACCGAAGTTTTGTAGGTAGCAACAAGTCGTGCTGTTTTCGGACAGTAAAGTAAGCCCGCTTTGCTGCGGCTAAAACATGGATTGTTTTTGGATCGATGCACTCAAAGATCACTGCGAATCCTTAAAGACCTGCATGGCATGGGTATAAACATTACGTTTCAATGGATTCCATCACATGTGGGTATAGAGGGTAATGAGGCGGCTGACAGACTTGCCCGGAGTGCTCTGGAGCTTACACCAACGAAGAAGGCTCCCAAAGACAATCAGCGTATCTTATGAGAAGCTGTAAACAAGCATTTTCACTCGTTATGGCTGACGCCGCACCAGCCATGTGTGACACAAGGGCTATCAAGGGAAGATGTCTGCTTGCTTCATCGCATTCGAACGGGATCAGCACGTACACCAGCATGACTTCACAACATCAGACTGTCCGCGACGCCCTTGTGCCCGAAGTGCAAGGAAAACGGGGATACAGAACACTATTTGCTTAAATGTTGTGCGCTTAAAAAGGAACTGCAAGGTTTATTTGAGGAACTGCAACAGTTAGGCTCACCATGCGACAGCGTGATTGATATTGTGTTTCCGCGTGGTTCCTCGATCTTCAGGAAACAAGTGTCGCGACTTCTCTTGAAATTTTTGATTGCTACAGACCTCGCATGTGACTGGTGATAAGTGTCAATTATGTTTGGTGTGTAGTTCAGCGAGATAGAGTACCGGCACAGTACTGCACGTAGAATAGCACAAAGGTCGCTGTCTTATGCAGGCTTACGTCGCGCTATGAACGATTTTTATTTTAAGAGCCTGCTCGTGATTAGTGAGAAAACAAACAAAGGGAACAGCTTCATTTAGCAAAGAGGAAACCGGGCGGGGCAATTGCATGCAAATCATGCAAGGCTAGATCCACCGGCTACCTACAACATCCTTAACCTTAACCTTAACCTTAACCGCTGATGACAGTGATTTGATGAGTAAATAAGGGGAGGAATTGCAGCTCTTCATTACTGAACTGGACACGGAAATCAGAAGAATAGGTATGAAAATTATTATGCATGAAACTAAAGCGTAATAGACTCGGCAGAAAATAGCGCTTTGCGATAAGTGGAGAGACGCTGGAGATTGTAGAAGATTATGTCTACTTAGGATAGGTAGCGACCACGGAGCCAGACCGAGAGTCAAATAACTTGAAGAATAAAAATTGGTAATCTGCTATTAACCCTGAATAGGAAGGTATATAACAGCTACATCTTGCTGGTACTTACCTACGGAGCAGAAACCTTACAAAGAGGGTTCAGAGGCTTACAAAGAGGGTTCAGCTTAAATTGAGAACGACGCAGTGAGCGATGGAGAGGAAAATGATAGGTGCAACCTTAAGAGACAATGAGAGAGCAGAGTTGGTCAGGAAACACACCGGGGTTGAGGGCATCATGGTTGAAATCAAGAAGAAGAAATAGACATGGGCCGGGCATGTAGCGCGTAGGCAAGATAACCGCTGGTCATTAGGGCTAACCGACTACACTCCCAGAGAAAGCAAACGGACGAGGGAGAGACAAAATGTTAGGTTGGCCGATGAGATTAAAAAAGTTCATAAATATAACGTGACAGCAGAAAGCGCAAGACCAGATTGATTGATGGGTCATGAAAGAGACTTTTGCCTTGCAGTGGGTGTAGTCAGGCTGATGGTGATGATGGTGATGGTGTTGCTATCATATAGTATAAACGGAACTGTAATTCCTGAAAACATTATCAACAACGTCAGCCTTATTTTTGTGTGCTTAGAACGCAGTGTTCCATTGATTCTGGCCACGGTTTCTGGCTAAACTTGAATTATAAAACGTTAAATTGCAAAACTTTGATTTTTTTTTGCTTACGTACGGCATCATTGTGTACGTTACACAAGGCCCTTACCTGTAATTTGCTCATATTAACTCTGCTCGTTTTTTTTTAAACTACAAACGCACTGCTGGCATAAAAGCCATGAAATCTCAC